GCTGGCGCGCGGTGATGACGTTGGCGGGCGGCGGGCGCTGATGACGCGCTCCAGGCGCCGGAACGTGCGCCCTTGCTGGAGAAGGGGGCGGCGGCCGCGTCGCAGAAGCAGCTTGCGGAGGAAGGAGCGCGGCCTGAAGGTGGCGACGGCGGCGCAGACACGGACCCGCACGGGCCGGACCCGCCCGCAGCCACCTACGGCTTCGGAAGCGTTATTGCTCTGTAAAAACGGCCTGCCAACCCGGGTTTGAGACCAGCCTGGCCGGGCAGGAAAGTCCAAGACACTCATCTTCAGCCAGTGGTGGAGCTGTGGCTGGAGTGCTGGAGCAGGAGACTTGCACACAAAAGCTCCGGGACCGTGCCCAGGACTGGCGGGGGGGGGAGGACAGAGACAGAGAGAGATTCAATTTTTTTCTAACGGAATATTTATTATTGTTAGTTGGTAACATACAAGCTATTGATGCAGTATTTATGGAAGCAGGAACATGCTTCTTTAAAGTTTTTATCTTTTAGAAGGCACATAAAATGTTAGACTTGCTTTCCTACTTCATAAATACACACATATAGATGCATAGTTAACACAGCTCATCCAAAAGATTTAACTTTTTAAGCAGACACTATAACAATCGCTAGTACCCTCACAGTTTTGAACATTATCCAAAAAGATACACTGTACCCCCATTGACAGTCACTCCATTCCCCTTTGAATCCATCGGCTACCTCTATAATCTTTCTCCTGTAGTTGGGTTTTTCCCTGTGTGTGTGTATACACATGCATGCATGCATGCAACACAGCTCCATTTCTAATTGTTTGCTGGGTTAGATGGACTTTTCTGCCTGAGTGGCTTTGAACTGGGATCCTCAGACCTCAGATCTTAGGCTGCTAAATAGCTAGAATTACAGGTGTGAGCCCGTAGCACCCAGCTTGTAGTTTTTTATAATATGATTTTCAGCTTTATTTTTATACCTTCTTACCTTACTGTAATATTAAACATTAACACAAACATATTTTCTTTGCACAGGGCTGGGATCATCCTTGTTCAGTTAAGCACCGTACACACCAGAGTCACAAGCACGTAACCATTTTGAGCAACATAGTAAAGTACAAAATTCTGGAATGAACAAAATTTCTATTAGAACTATCTTTAAAAAAAATAGAAAGAAAGAAAGAATAAAAGCTTCTCCTGAGCTGTTCTCTGGGGTAAATGGCAGGCCTGTCATCTCCATAGGGAGGCAGGGTGCCTTGGTAAAAAGACAGATGCCAAGGCTGGGAAGGTGACTCAGTGGTAGAGTGCTTGCCTAGCATGCATGAAGCCCTGGGTTCAACTCCTCTACCACATAAACAGAAAAGACTGGCAGTGGTGCTGTGGCTCAAGTGGTAGAGTGCTAGCCTTGAGCATAAAGAGGCTCAGGGACAGTGCCAGGCCCCTAGTTCAAGCCCTAGGACTAGCAAAAATATATCCTGGATACTCTTAATGGCTTCAGACCTTTTCACACTTTTCTCCTTCTTCCTCTCCTTTCCCCCAGTATTGATTCTGACACCTGTGCTCTACCGCTCATTTACTAAGCTCTCTCCAAATCCAGAGTCATTTACAGTTTGAAAGCCATGAGATTCACTTCTTTTGTGCCTTTAAGCTAGCTCTTCTAGCTAATACTAAGAGATGTACCTGGCTGGATGCTGTGATACATGCCTACAGTCCCAGCTGCTCTCAGAAGGCTGAAGCAGAAACATCACTTGAGCCCCAGAGTACTGGAACAGCCTTGGCAGCAAGACCCTGTCTCAAAACATCCTCCCTCTTCATACCTGAGAAGCCCATATCTCCTTCTGCACCACCCAGGATGTCGTTAATGACTGCATTCTCACCATATACAATCTCAGGGCACTGCTTCTCCCCTAGTATTTACAGTTGTGTACTCAAAATAACATTTAGGGGTTCTCTTATGTAAAAGATAATCTTTTTAGCAATTGATATATGGATTGCTGATTCCCCGAGTGGCCATCTTCTGAGAAGCATTGCTGCTTGGTTTCAGTGCAGAGAGTGTATTTATGTTCTTAGTACACCAGTGCTACAAGCCACTATTTTTATTGTCTTGGCTCAGGGATTAGGAGAGGGGTTGGTAAGAGGTGGTATCTGAAGAACAAGTGTGAGTCCAGTGAGGGTCAGCTGACATTGTGGCCCACTGTGTGAAAGAAGTTTGTTCTCAGTTGACCCAACTAAGAACAGGTGAGAAGTACAAGCACTTGCAAATATGAAGCTAGAGAAAGCACGAGAACTCCTGCCATTTCACAGAGAGGCAGCTGGCTTGCAGCAAAACGCTGTGAATCCTTATGCTGAATTAACCTGAATGATACTGGTTTAAACAAAAATAAGTGTTGCTTGAGACTAATGAGTGAATTTGCTTCGGTTTAGAGTAATTAAAAAAACCTAAAAGCACAAGTTCTGTAGTAAAATTTGTATTTGTGTTTTTTGTGTGCACATGTCGGTGATTGAACCCAGAGCTTCACATGTACACAGGTTCCACCATTGAGCTATACTTTCAGATG